ATTATCAAAGTAAATTACTTCATACTTTGCTATATCAGCAATATTATTGTTTTAATAGTTGTTTCTCTCAACATATATTTTACTTGTATCAATATATACACACATATTTGTCCAGATTGGCGATCCAAAAGATGCAGTGCGTAATGGAGTTCGTGCATTATTTAAACAAATAGCATTGGTGTATCCAGTGAGTAAATTATTTTCTTATGTAATGGAAGGTTTAAAATCTAAAAATGCTCGGCAGAGAACAGGTAAATAAAATAATTAAAAAATATAGAAATCGTGATTAGCAAATGCTAAATAATTGTTCTACTTTTAGAATGCTTAGATCAACTTGGTTCTCTTATTGAAAATTATGGATTGTCAGTTTGCCAACCATCTACATCTGTGGCACTAAAAGAAATTGCCAAACAAATAGCAGATCGTGATAATTCTGTTCGAAATGCTGCTTTAAATTGCATTGTTCAAGCATATTTTCTTCAAGGGGAACGAATATACAAACTTATTGGTCAGGTAATGATTTTATAATTGTTTTTGTATAATTATGATGTTTCACTAATTTATTGATTTTTAGATATCTGAAAAAGATCAATCATTATTGGATGAGCGTATTAAAAGAGCTGCTAAAAATTACCCAGTAAAATTAGCTTCTGCCAATAGACTTTCAACACCTTCAAATGCAACACCTATTCCTTCTAATGAAGATGTTAAAAGTTCTAATGAAGAATATGAAGAAGAAAATGATGAAATACCTGAATCACCACAGCCACCTGTACCACCTCAATCTAATGAACTGTAAGTGTAATGCAATAGTTTTATATATATTTCTGCACATTAAAACTTATTTTTAACAACATTTCCATATAAAAGCATTTATTTTATGTATTATAATTTTTATGTCGTGACATTAATTATATCACAGATATTTAATGCCATTCCTTTTGATATTATTATTAAATTGCTAATATAATTAAACAAAACATCTTTAATACTATACATTTTTTGTAACTATATCTTATTATTTCTTTTTTGTTAATTATTTTTGTTTGTACGAATCTGCTTTTAATATTTCCAGGCCACATGTAACAGAGACTACAAATGTACCAACAGACTCTTATGAAACTAATGAACCTCTTTCAAACATTTCATCTCCAAATCATGATGAAGATAATATTAAAACGTTTGTGCTTCTTGTGATTTGTTTTTAGTGTGCTGTATATGTATGGTGGCGGGTATATGGGAAATAACAAGCAATCGCATGTTTAGTTGGTTATTTTATTTTCAACGTAGTAGTATAAGTTTATTTGAGATCACTATTGCATATACATATTTTTGATCATAATGATCATATCAATTTTATAAAAGATAATATACATTAGAATAAATTTTGTGGTTTGAAACTGGTTCAATGTTGTTAAAGTAATAAAACAATCTAAGAGTAATGTCCTATATAGATTAGATTTATATGTAGTAAATACTGCAATAAGTAGAGTAAATGTAGTATTACATTAGTATTTTACACAATTTTTACATAATTTTAATTTTTAGAAATTCTCCAACTTCGACACAACCAAAAGTTTCAGGTCCATTTGGACTTGACATGGACTTTTTACAAAGAATTGAATTAAATGCACCTGTAAAGTATAGTAATCCTGTTCTGGTAGAAATTGATTTAACAGATCTAAATGAAAATCCCACAACAAACGCAATGAATATACATAAAGTACCGTAAGTAATTATTATCATCTCTTGTTACATTTTCTAATTATTAGTAATAGAAGGCATATTTAATAATTTTCTTTGTTTCATGTTTTTGTATAAAGTTAGATCTAATATAGAAGCTATCAAAGTGACTTGTTTGAAATGTTAGATATTAATTAAAAAAATTTTTGTAGAGTTATTCCTATGTCTCCTCCAAAATTATTAGTATCAAAATCTGCATCAATGACGCAGCAGCAGCTGGGTACTGGTAATACTAGCAAAGAGGAAAGTCTTGAACGTAAAATTCTTGCAATGGCTAGTTTAGATTTGGCTGTTGCAATACAATCAATGAACAGCATCGATAATGTCCGTATTTAGAATATACATGTTTGTGTATTAAGTTATATATATTATATTTGTAATTTTTAATTATTTTGTAGCTGATAAAATCTCATCAAATTTTGAGTTTACAATCTAAGGAAGATAAATTTATTGGTTCGATAAATATGCAATTAAAACTTTTGCAAACTTATCCTTTACAACAAGGAGGTGCAGATATATCTAAAGGGTTTAGAAATACATTTATGGTTTTATTAGCGGTAAGAATTAATTATATAATACATATAAGATAGTAACGATATACATTGCATTTATTGTGGAACTATCTACAGTTTTACGATACTGGGATTCTTGGAAAGAACGTTCCATTAATACATCTGAAAGAACTTGTGGATCAAATGATCAGCTTATTAGCAGAGAACAAACTAAATCATTTACACCAGGCAGAAGCATATTATCGCGTTATTAACAACATTGTTTGTAAAATAATAGACAACTCAAATCATACTACTATTATATGGTAATAATTTTAAAAATTTTATTTAGTAATGTATGTTGACGTTGATAATAGTATCGATGACAGTTGTTATACATATATTTAAAATATCCTTACTAAAGTATTAAATATAACTAATTCATTCATTTTTTTTAATGCTAAGTGTTTTAATAAAATTACTTCATGGATGTGCTGAATCTGCTGCTCCATCCAAATATGAGGAACTAGTAATGAAGTGTTTATGGAAGATAGTGAAAACAATCCCTAATTGGGCTGCAGATTTAGATTATGACACTATTCTTTTAGAAGTACATCGGTTCCTTAAGGTAACAGTTTTTTTGCTGTAAACATTTTATATGTGCCATCTATAATAAAGATTCTTTTTTCTTCTTTTTAAATATGTATATTTTACAGGATTACCCAAGTATATGGTGGAAAAAACGAAAATCTGATACTCCATTACGTACAATTAAGACAATTCTTCATAGCATGACCCGTGTAAAAGGCAGTACCATACTCAGTCACTTAACACGAATAAATAATACAAATGAATCAGAATTACAGAATTATCTTATTAGGTTAATTGCGGTTAGTAAATTAGATATTATGAGATATTGAATCTTATAAAATACATAAAATTTTAATTTCTGATAATAATGTTTAATAGACATTTAAGCCAGATGAAATTAATAGCAACCCCAAAAGTGCTCTAAAATCCAGCGGTGCGGGAAAAGCTCAAGAACATTTGTCGAAATTTACGCATCAACAGTTGTCAGAAATATTTAAAAAGATTGGATCTAAAGAACATACAAAAGAAGTGTGTATATCGATAAATAATATACTTATTTTTTAATGGATAACTAGATAATATATTTCAATTATCTAGTAGCTAATGTTTTGATACTTATACTTAATAAGTATACTTATTTTGTACAGGGTTTAATGCAGCTTTACGATTTTAAACTTCAATATCCTGAAGCGGATGTACAACCTTTCTTGGTAAAATCTCATCAATTCTTTCAAGACTTTATAGAGCAAGGATTAAGAGATATTGATCAAGCACGAAAAAATCAAAATCTTATAACACAAACTAATAACCAGTACTCAACAGGTAAATACTTATAATGTGAAATACTAATAAAATTACTTATTATTACTTTACGTAAATAATTTGCTTCAGAAATAGCCGAATCCGCTAGTTCGGAAGAAAAAAGCCTAATGGATCCATTGCATAGGCTCGAAAAACTTCGATTATCTGAAGCACAATGTAGAACTACTAACCAGCCAAGTCCAACATGAATTAACTCTTATTAATTCTTACTAAGTAAGAAAGAAGGAATTACATATGAATAATAGTTTAAGAATTTATTAAAAATTTTAGCTTGCATTTCAAGAATATAAAATAAAATATACAGAGTGTTTAGTGAAAATGGTTTTGAGACTTAAGGAAGATATATAAAGAAAGAATTTTTTGGCCTAAAATGTAATTTTGTATCCTTTCATGAGGTTACTTATTCGTAATAAATAATATAATGAAATCATAGCAATGAATAAAAATAATACAAAATGTAAATACTTTAAAATATACATTGGCTTATGATTCACAGATGTGAATGTATAGAACACATTGAACATATTTTTAGAAATGAAAATAAATATTAGTATTTTAATAGTTTCTTTATTAATATTACGATTTTATGTTACAATACAGTTTTTCTTTAAACTTTTCTTTGTTGGGCTTTCAAAAATTCTTAATTCTTTCATTTACATTTAATGTGTTTTTAAGAGATTCATTTATATTACTAAATACTAGTAAATACAAAATTACATTTTGTACTAAAATTGATTTTGATGTTTCTGATAACTCCTCTCAATGAGCTCTCAATGAGTTCATATATTTTTAAATATTTTCTTTATACATCCTGTATATTGTATATAACAATCATGATTCATAAAGTAGAATTCGGAATTAAAGCGATTAAAAATATTCTTTCTGATTTACGTCTTTAAATTAATTTTATATAAAGAAAATATTAATGATATATATTTTATTATGTGCATTATCTATATGAACAGATAAATTCTATTTTACAGGGTTGCAGTGCTTAAATAACTGGATTAAGAACCAATAATACACACAATACAATATGAAGTAAATAGTACATAGACCAGAAAGAATAATCGTCGTACCTAATGTACGTAATGTTACGCTATTCAGTGCAACATTAACTGTAGCATTTATGTCTTGATTTTCTCAGTAACTACATATGTGTTATAATGCTAATTATCAGGAGTTTATGTGTTACAACTCTTAAAATAATTGCTAACATGTTATAGTACTCGTATTTATCAACATTTGGGAAAGATAATTAAGCTATAAGAAGCTAGTATTATGCTCTCTTTAGACTGATTTTACACAGAATCGATTTATATTTCGTTATTTCTTTTAAAATAAATCCACTCATTAATGTATATCGTTGATCTATATTTATAAAAGAAATATTACATGTCTTTGTTATTTAATTAATTAAAACTTAATAGTACTACACATAAGAAGCATGTTTCTTCATATTTATAATCCCGGTATACGAATGTAGATTTAATACGTTAATTTTTCATAATAAAAGAACATAGTATTAGCGAAATAATGATAATAATAATTATTATAAAATAATAGTAACTTAATATATCTACAAAAATTTCTGGAAGAATTTATGTAGTGTAAGTAGAGTGTGTATATATTCTAAATTAAAGTATTCAATAAAATAGCTTATAATAATACTACTTATTATTTTTACACTATACACCGTTGTTTAGTGCTTGATATGTCGTATCATTTCTTACAACAATCTTACAACAATTTTATTCACATGAGTAATTATTTATATCAATATAATTTCAAGCATAATGTACAAATTATATACATAAGTACTTTTTAGGTAAAAATGTAGTGTATATTATGATTTTTACTATCTCATCACACAATCTGTACACAAATATGGAAAATATGTACATTATCTCATAGCAAAATATATTTTATGACATATAGGTATATAAACACTGTATACTGTTTTCATACATCTTCCGTAGGTGTGATAAAAAGTGCTGTTAAAGCAAATAGTAGAAATACCAATCCACCAATTATGGTCACTATAAATAATAAAAATAGTCCCAATTTGTTATTCCTTTTAAATTCTATTACAGTATCATTAATATTTAGTGATTTACATATACGTATATAACCTATACAAGTAGAAATATTATCTATTTTTTAATATAGAAAAGTATACTTTACCTGTTCGTACTGAAATTCTCTGAGCTATCATCCTCCCCCCTAATACTGCTAATCCTGTACAAAATGAATGTCCTAATATTCCACCTATTACAACTCCATAAACATTCTAGAAATAATAAATTTTTCTTTCTTTATAATTAGGGTTCAACATTGTTCTATACATGTTATAAAGCCAAATATTAAATATAAATGTCACCTCTCTTGCTGCAAGTATAATAGTTGTAAGCTGTGAGCGATCACCCCATTCTGCAAGAAATGTTAATGTAAATGCTTGAAGGAATATCCTAGAGAGGAGCACCAGTGCACTAATTTTTGTTGCTTTTCTTATAACACCAGTTTCTGGATCTTGTACTAAAGTGCTTGCAGTTTCCTTTTCATACTGAAAGTGATGATATTTAAAAATTATTTAATTCCTGCAAAAACGTTAAAGGAATAGTTTCAAAACAATTATTCTATAAAATCTAATGAAAATTGCTTATAGCTATTTATATTTTTAATATTGGTACCTCATCTTCTCGTTTCCTTAAATCAGATTGCACTTCTTCTAATTCTTCTTGTGCCTCAGTTGCAGACATCTTATAACCATCCCGTAGCATTTTCAAACCAAATAAAGCAAAAAGTGCAGTAGAAATGTAGTATGTATAAACACTAGGAATTATGGTTGCAGCATATCCAAAAATGACTGAAGATCAGAAAGAAAGACAACTATTATATAATATACATATAATGTTTTGATTATTTTATAAATATCATAATATTGTTGAATATACTACTAAAAACAATTCTAGTAAATGTGTTATACTGTATATAGCTTTTATATTATGGTGTTCTACCACATTCCAATCAAATATGTAAAAAATGTTAAAATTAGTAGATTGAGTATGGAAATCTTATTGTAAAATCTATTTGCTCTTTGAATTTGAATTTCTTGTCTCTTTACTTGGAAAATAAATAAAATCTGCAATCTAGATAAAACCTATTAATAATATTAAAATACTTAAGTTCAGGATTGAATTGGGTTTATTACAAATCCATATAATACTTAAAGTTACAAGAGAAGTAACAAGATTATCAAAACATACTGTGTAATCATGTGCTAAAATGTAAAAATGTTTTGGGTATCTTTTATACAGGTAATCAGATATCGGATAACAGAATGCAAACTTCATTATATATCATAGATAAAATTACATGGAATATTTAGTTATATGAATTTTTGTAACAATTTTCAAATGCCACACTCATATTTAAAGTAGGTCCTAGATATTATTGGATAATAGAAAAAGTTGTCTAATCAAACTTTTACATATAACAATACCTGAAAGGAGAGTCATCAAAGCCAGTGCACTAATTGCTCCTATAAAAACTGTCAATCTTGGATGTTTCATTGCCATAATAGCAGCGATAAAGAAAGTTTTGTCGCCCAATTCAGAAACAACGATGACAGACAAAGAAGCTATAAATGCATGTATAAAACCAAGGTTATCCTTGGTTTGTGGTGACATTGCATCTTCAGGTCTCTAGTATTTATTAGAAACATTAATACGTGTAAGTTCATATTATTTAATACAGATAAATTGAATTATAAATATTTACCATAGACGTCATTATCATTTGAAATCTACTATCATATATAGGTTCACTTTCACTTAATACTGTAGATAAAAAAAAACAGTTTATTACACATATATATAAAAAATACTCGCTTGTTGATAGAGATCGAATAAAGCCCATTGTTTTTAATTTATAATAATAATACTAGGAGTTTTAACTTCAACTTTTTTAGTGTTGAACACGTTATCAGTACATGGAACATACGCACGGTGAAGTACGGATACTTATACTATCTAATGTTTCACGTTGCAGATTCTATATTGTGAAATTTACACAATATTCGTGATGGATATTTAATGTTTCGAAAATTGATCACTCATCAAATGAAAATATTTGATACAAATATACTATGTATCTCATGTATTTTATAAGAATTAATATTTAAACATATTAAATTCTCAAAAGTTTGAGTTACAATTTTCAAACTACTATTTATTTCATGAAATATATATGTATTTGTAGGACCTGAACATTAGAATTATACACCTAGAAAACATTAATCTGACAGATGTCGCTGAACAACAAATGAAGTTAGAAAGAGGGGATGGTTCTATAGAAATGAATAAATATTAAATTTAACAATGTATGCACATACATATATGATTTAAGACAAGAATAGTTGTTTAGTTGTCACAAATATTTAAAGTGCATTTTGAAATTTATACTATATAAACATAGGCTTAATGTTTTGTTGAATATAATGTCATCCTGTCTTCTTAAGACCATTTAAATGGTTTATTTTTGGCGCGAATTTAGCTTATTTGAGAAATACATGTGCAACTCAGAGGTCACCACAATCATAAATCAGTGCATATTGAAATGACAGTTTAGTGTAATGTACACTATTTTAAGATTTCATAACCTCTAGAAATATGAGTAATGAAAATAAACATAAGTTATTTTGTTGTGATCATAATAAAAACAGATAAGAAATGGATCACGAAGAAGAATTTCTTAATACGTTTTTTGCTCAAGTTGCTCAATTGTGTACTGACAAAGCTAAAGAATTAGTTGTAAGTAATTACTATAAAGTATATACAAATTTACTAGTAATGTAAAATAAAAATCTGGCTGATTTAATACAATTGAATATATATATAATATGTATAGCTTTTACAAACTTTAGTGTTAACGTTTCCATACATTAACGTAACATACATTACTGCAGAATATGAAAGATGAAATATACAAATCCATAAATGAAATTGTGATAATATTCTACAAATTTAGATATATAAATTCAACATTTTTTATTTAATTCTTAAGAAAATTTTAAATTGAGAACTAATTACTATCTTCTAATAATTTAGAAATGCATATTTAATCATTAATTCCAGGAAAAGGAACGTGGATCATGTCGTCAAACACAAATGGGCCCATGGGGAATGTTACTTATGCATTTACCACAAATAGCAGTAGCAGAACATTCATATGCAGATCTAGGTTTCCTTCATACTAAAAATAAAGGATTTTTGCGGAAAGATGTAAATATGTTAATTTTTATTTTAATATAATATAAAAATAAATAATGACATTTAATTAATATCTATTATTACGTGTTTCTCTAGAACTCATTAAGAACAGTATATGAATCTTTGAAATCTGATCTAAAAAGGGTAGAGGAAATGACTAGAGGAACCAATTCAATTGGTGCAACAGTTGCTGAGGTTTCTAATCAACTGTGTCAATATATTACTGCGAAAATACAACTGATAGATTTGTTAGTATATTGTTACTTTAATTTGTAGTTAAATATCTCATATAATATTATTCTATTACAGTTATGAAAAAATGTACAATATGAGTATCAATAGCAAGACTATGAAATATCAGGAATTATTACAATGCATTGAAGGAATAGTAGAAATTCATTCCTTGTCTTGTTCACATCTAGCACTAACTGCTATTAAAGCAAGTTTAACGTAAGTACAAATCAAACTAAAATATTAGAATTAAAAACTGGAAATTGTGGTTATAATTTATTCTTCTTGAAATTAAGACATGCTTTGATTAGTTTAGAGTGCGAAATATTAGTGCAATTAACAAAGGCACAAGTTGAACTTCAACATTGGAGATTTTTATCAACATTAATGGCTCTGTATGGTGCACAGACACGAATGTCAGCTTGGGAGAGAACTTTACAAAGTAAAGAGGTAAGTGATATAGATAAGATAACGAAGGAAAAAGATAAATATTTTTAATTAATTAACATATTTTTAGTCATGGAAACTGGGTTTCAGTGCCTCATTTTTAAAAGCAAATCAACAACCAGCATTGTATCAATGGTTAGTGAAACTACGTAGTAGCATATTAGCTAAGTGCTCTTTATATTTTCATACTACTTTAAGTCAGCAGGCTAGTCCAGGAGAAATGAGAAGTATCATGAGCAAGCAAAATGTGGACTACTACCATAAGTAAAACATTTTTAATTATTTCAATTAAAAGTTATTGAATGAGTATTGATATACATTTTTATTTTAGAATACAAAGCTTTCAACGTAAACACGACGTCCTCGCGGTCTTAATAATATTTGACTCTAGGGGAGTAGAAGATGCAGGTCTGGGTTACAGACATCCACGTAGAGAACCAAATACTTCTGAGCAATTCCCTGTTGTTCTTAGTTGTCCTAGTGTGAGTCTATATAAATTATAAATGATTGGCAAAAAGATAAATGTAATACGTTGTAGCAGTATTAATATTCACTAAATTTTGTTTTCTAAAAAAAATATTACCTTTTAGGTATTTGTACAAAAGCCATCAATTCACTTAGATAACATACAAAAACGAATTAAAGAACGACATACGGAACTTCTTGCTATGGATAAGATTATATATTATAAAAATGTAAAAGTATGTTAATAGAAGCGCTTTTTGATAAATTTTATATTTTAATACAAATTGATTTTCTTTTAGGATATATGTACATATGCCATGTACAATACCGATCCTAGAATGACTTTAGTCACTGTATCTGAAAATGGTAAACAAAAAGACAAAGAAGCTCACATAGCATCATTTATGACAGACTTATGTGTGCAAATTAGGTGTAATAAAATATATGAGTCGTTAAAATTATCAAAATGAGGAATCACATATATACGTATAAAAGTGTTAAAATACCACCAAAGATTATAAGAAAAAGAATCAAAAGTTATTTAAATAATAACATGGAACATGTTGTATGTTAATAAAATTTTTATTGCTCGGTTATGTACTATATTATTTATTTCTGAAGTAAAACTTATAATTTATTTTTAGTTAAGTATTATCTTAAAAATAATATTGTAGTGATAATAAACGCAGTTAAATATATAATTATTTTAATATTTATTAAAAAAGTATTTACAAAATATTTTAATCGCAATTAAGTAACGTTTCATAACGACATAATTGCTCTTTTTAATGCCTTTTCTTTATTTTTTCTAATTTTATTTTTACGTTTATTACTTTGGGTTGCATCTATAAAAAGCTGTATTCCCTCTTTCTCTTCAATAACTCGTTGCATATGCATCATTCCATACAAGTTAAATCCAATTGTATCCTAGAGGAATTAATTTTGAATTTATATTCTTTAGATAATTACTTAAATAAAATTTATAAAATAAAAATGCTCTTACCCTTAGTTCAGAAACTTTTTTAATCGCAAGTGTTTTCACAGTTTCTATGATAGGTAAAAGTTCTTGAGTAGCTATAATTGGACCATGGTGAGCTTGAATTAAACATAATGCTAGTCTTGTAATTAATTCCGTGTGATAATCTGATTGTAATAATGTAGGAAGCATTTTAAGAATTTCACAAGCAGCTGAGTATGGTAACAATAGTAATGTCTCTTCTAAATCACTGTAAAATTACTTTATTATGTGTATTTTATTTTTATCATATTTATACTACATATATACACATTGTATATAGATTTCTTACCTTCCTCTAATTCGTTTAATTATTTCTAATAGATAATCTTTTGTATTTGTACAATTATAAGCCTGCATTTGTAAAGGAATAGCAGGTGGTTTATCTGCTGTTGCTTGCGATAATTGCTCATTGTATTCTTTAGATACATCTAAACATTCTAATATCAATTCAGCCTAAACATTATATAAATTGAATCACACATGATGTCCTAAATGAATTAATTTTTATGTTCAATTTATTTATTGACATTTACCCCCTTTTCACTGGATACTGTTTTTCTTGAAGGTAGAGATTGTTGTTTTTGTCCTGGGACAAGAGTAGTTTCTCCAGTAGCTAATTCATTTTCTTGACGTTCTCGTTCTTCTTCTTCTTCATCTTGGAGAACTAAAGGTTCTGAAGTCCGTTCATACAGCCTAACTACTCTATCAGATCCACAAGAAATAACATAAAGTCCATTTGGTGAAACAGCACAGTTCCATGCTGTACCTGCATGCCCCTAAATAGAAAAATGTCTAATGTTGTAATTGTTAGCATACAATTTCTAAATATTTTAAAAAAAGATTTACTTGTAATGTCACAATTTTTTGAAAATTGTCAGCATCCCATTGTTTTACTTTCCCATCCTTCCCACAAGTAAAAATATAATGTGTATTAGGTACGAATGAAAGTCCTGATACAGAGTCATCATGAGCGAATATCGATTTATGGCAATCTCCAAAATCTAAACCCCAAATTTTTATATTTCGGTCAGCAGAACCAGTAGCAATAAGTGTTGAATCACTTGATATATCCATACACAAAACTGGTAATTTATGCCCATAAAGGGAAATGAAAAACTAAAATGACATCAAAGTTTTTAGATATATCACACATTGTTTAATACTATAGAAATTATATGCATATTTTCATGTAATTACCTTAAATGTATCAAGGAAAAAGACTTTTACAGTAGAATCAAGTAATGCGACTGCGACAAATTTGCTATTGGGACTTATTCTTACACATAATACACTATCTTCCAATTTTAAAGTTTTTAAGTGCAAAACAGATAAAACTTTCGCTTTTATTTCTCTATCAGGATCTTGAATAAGTTCAAAATTCCAAAATTTTACTGTCTGATCTCCGCCACCACTAGCTACTCCTTTCTATAAATATATATATATAAAATAATCATGAAATTATATACCATTATGAAGTTACTATAAATAATGAAGAACATTATTAAGTTACCTTATCAGGAAATAATGTGACACTCCAAAGTTCTTTAGAATGTGCAGGAATTTCCTCTAAAATGTCGCCCGAAGCGATATCAATAATTAGCATTTTACCATCTTTTAAACCTATAATTAAATGTCTGTCTCCTGGTACAAATGTTGCTGTTAAAGCATAATTACATTGTACAGTCCTTAAACACGCCAGTGTTGGTCTAGAATCATAAAAATTATTATGAAATTGCTAAATCATTTTACAAGTCTATGTCAATTTTATTTCCATACCTATTCCATAATTTCACAGAATCACCAGCTGCTGTTGCAAAAGCTAAATTATCAGAACTAAAACAAACAGCACGGACCTCTGAGCGATGACCATGATTTGTTATTGATCTTAAATGTTTCACTTCAGCATTTTTTTCTTGTGTGAATAAGGAATATAATTCAATGGAATTATTATTTAATCCTACACATACCTAAAATAATGACATGTAAAAATTGATTGGATAGTACTTTTAATTATTTTAGAAGATGATTTTTATAGTAACTTACTCTAAGTTCACCGCTTCTACCCATAACTATACTTAATCCTTTAGCTTTAGCAGATACTTTGATAAAAGGTAGGCGTATGAGTTCATCCTTTATAGTTGGTGTTCCTGAGAAATTTGTTTCTGCACTTTTTTCACTTCTATTAAAAAAAAATGTCACATAAAAAGATATTTGTATATTTAAAAAACATTTGTTTTTACAAATATACTACAAAAATGTCTTTGCATACTTCTCTGCTTTCTTCCTTTCTTTTCGTAATCGTTTAAGAATGTTATCTTTTATTTTAGTGTCAGGTAATAATTGAAATAATTCTACGGTATTGTCCAAACCATGACATCCAATAACTGTATGAGTAGCATCAACATTGAGAGACGCAACTCTTCCATGACCACTTCTTAGTATACTTCCAACTTTTTCGCATTTTAAAGGATGTTTCTAATACAATATATTTTCATTAAATACTAATCTAATAAATATATTCTAAATATAAATATTTATTAAATCAAAAGAGAACATACCACATTGCTGATTTCAGCATCATCAGTGAGAGTTAAGTCATGTAAATTAACATCAAAGTCTACAGCTTCACCTTCAGTGAAAGATATTTGCCATATACGTAGTTCATTATCATTGCAACCAGTTATTAAATATTGATCATCTTTAATTAAAACTAAACCCCAAACCTTAAATGATAGAAGTATTGTTATCAATATAATATGTAACTAAATTAACCATCGTTATATATATTTAAAATTATATTTACTTCTGTTCTATGACCAACAAGAGTTCTAAAATTATGTTCAGTATCTAAATCCCAAAATTTGACAAATGTATCTTTACTACTACTAATAATAATATTGTGATCTTTCATGAATGCTAAATTTGTTATTACACCTTTATGTCCAGTTAATCTACATATACCGGTCTCAGCTACAATATCCCAAAGAATAATATCTGTATCCTGAAAACATGTAATTGAAAATTATTTCATGCACTTTTATGCTCTGCTTCTTCTACTAAATTATTTTACCTTTGAACCTGATGCTAATCTATGTCCTCCTCTATCATATATCAAAATTGTAATTTCAGATCTATGACCAACAAATATACTTGTATTTTCTCCTGTTTTTAAGTCAAATGTTTTTATAGTACCATCTGCATAACCAACTGCTATATGTTGCTTATTAGGAGATGCAGCTAAGTATGTTACACTTACTTTTTCACCTGATAATACCTGAACCTGAAATATCAGAAATTTCGACAATTATAATATGATCTATTGTAAGAACATAAATTAAAAATGATTTACAATCTACCTTTTCTCCAAGGCGTAAATCCCATATAAAAACATGTTCGCATGCTCCAACTGCTACAAATCTACCTTCTTGTTCTTGCAATGTTACAAAAACAACATTACAGGAAGAACTAACAATTATATTTAAATTCCCACCTGGTACATATCTCAAATATTGTTTTGTTAAACCCATTTTTTATTTATATATATATATATTTTTTTTATTTATATATTTATTTATATATATTATATATTAATTTTATTTATTTAACTATGAAAAAATGTCAATATTTATTCACTTATTTTCTTATCTATTTTTTATATAGTAAACGCACATTATTTATTTTAAAAAATTTTACGATCAATGATATTATATTAAAATGTTTATCGAATAATCCAAACTTATTTTTTAAAATATCAATTTAATTTTGATTGTTCTAAAAATACTCAGTTTATAACATAGGTTATAAGCTCATGTAGTCGCCATATACCACTGCGTTTATGGCATCACATACAGCCAAGGATCGTAAACTACGTGGTCCATCTGCTAGTTAAAAATCGTACGTCTTGTTAGTATTACTAACTCGCTGGTAGATGGTGTCACGATGCAAAAAATATGTTCAAATAGAGCACTTTACACTAATTACATGTAATTAATTAATTATGTAGATAGTCGGAATAATATTAGACAAAGATGATTTCTGAGAATTAAAACATTAATTTAATTTCTGAACAGGTGATGGATTCGCCTTATAGACAGAGAAATTTGATTTTTTAATTTCATCATAAAGAGATTAGTTCCACCTTTTCACTGCTAGATGGTTATAGCGTATCGTTGTTCTTGGATTGGACGATTTTTGAAATTTGCTTACAACTAAGAAAGTAGGAAGAATATTTCAATAAGAGTAATATTAATTAATTCCTTGGGTTATAAATTGAACATGCAAAAATTAATAAATTCCGAGAAATTGGAATTTTTTAATTTTACCACTTGTCTATTGAACAATTAAACATTACACATGTCTATTTTTGATGCGAATATCTCAAGATTAAATAGTGGGAACGATAATGAAAGTCGTTAAATTTGTCTTTCTATACTCTGCAAGAATATCGAAAAACAAATATATGTTTTTATTTAAAGAATTACTGATTGATTTCAAACCTTGTAAAAAAAATGATCATGAGAGAAAACTATTTCTGTTGTTATTTGTGACCCTTGAAATAGTGTAACTTTATCCTGAGAACTTTTTTCATACAGTAATAAGTAAGACAGATATTGAAGCCATTTGGCTGGGTCAACCATTAATTAATAATAAATTTTAGACATAAGAGACAGAGAAGAAAAGTAGAAAAGGAAAATAAGATTATTAATGAAACAAAATTTTGTGATAACGATATTATCTTATTTTATTCCATATAAAGGAACTTGTAGGAAAGTCGCATGACAATGTATGTATAGTTTAAGAAGTAGTCACATTTTCGTCAGAATCATTCATTCATAATTAAATGATATATACATATGTATAAATTGTTTGAATCACATTAGAAATTGCTTTTGTAGAACAGTGAACAAAAAGGCACTGTTAAGAAGTATGTATTTCTTTTATCTCACACAAATGTATCATTCTAATTCTTTACAATTTTGATACATTAATAAATTCTTTTTTGTTATTTATATTAAATAATAGAATAACAATGCAATAATTTTATCATATTTTGTACATCTCTTGAAATAGTAAAACTTCTGAATATACTTTGTAATTTTTACGATACAAAGTTTAATGATATTAAACGTTTCAAATGTTTATAGTATTCATTAGTCATTGAATTTTATCTTACATTAATAAATATAGTAAATAACAAGTTTTTACATTCTTAACAATATATGATAACATAATCGTACTTGATTGTAAAGTATATAAATATTAAAAATAAAATTATACAGTATATAAGAACCATTATTTATATATGTTGTATATTCTAAATATTATGTTGATGCAGCCATAGAATATGTTATATTTTGCTATTATATTTCAAGCATAAATATTGTATAAATAATATGTACAAATCATCTTACATGATTGAGATTTATGTTTCATGTATAGATGTTTAAAGAGAATATATACAGTAGTAAAAATTTATTATACAAATTTTTTATCCATTACTTTCTGATTGAGATTTGATGATTTGTTCTTCAACATGAACAGGTTGGACTAATGAATTTTGGAACCACATCATCCAGTTACTCAAGTAATGACCTCCCAATTTATTATCAGGATTCTCCTTTATCTGCACATTGTTTAATTCTTCAAAATTGCGAACCGTTTGAAGTTCAGTGAAATTATTATTCACCGAATGACGTCCATGCATTCTTACCTCCCTTTTTCGAAGAGCATCTTTTACTAACCTTTGTTTGCGCTCCTCTTCTGTTTCAATAGCAGATCTAGTAAATCTCATTTCTCTAACTCTCAAAGCATCTCTCTTTAATCTTTCTTTTCTTTCTTCTTGTGTTTCTTTAGCATATTGATTAAGTCGAGCCTCTCTTCTCTTCGCTGATTCTCTATTTAATCTCTCTCTTCTTTGTTCAGGAGTTTCACTAGCATATAGCGAAAGCCTTTTCATTCTTCTTCTTTCTGCTTCACGATCTAACCTTTTTCTTCTGTCTTCAGGTGTTTCATTGTACATCCTGTATTCTCTTTTCCTTGCAGCTTCTGCGTCTAATCTTTTTCTTCTTTGCTCTGGTGTTTCATAATACATTCTCATTTCTCGTCTTTTCGCTGCCTCCTTTGCTAATCTCTGTTGCCGCTGTTCTTCACTTTCTTGTTCATATAATTTTTTCCTTTTCTCTCTCATGCACTCTGCCTTTCTTCGTAACTTTTCTTTATAATCTTGTAACGAGTTTGATCTTATTTTCAATTGTCTTTTAGGTCTTTCAGGTTTACATTCCTTGGTTCTTATATTATTAACATTCTCTAATGTTTGATCTTTGTGTTTGTTCAATATTGTTATTGTATCATCAATGTCAGTAGGAACTTCTTGAATCCTATCCTTGGTATTTTTTGAAACTTTTAATCGAAGATCAGTTTCATTATTTACATTGCACAACCATTCTGTACTATAAACTGTTTCTTGATCTAATTCATTTTCCTTTTTTATATTAAGATTTAGTCCTAATAGTTCACTTGGTATTGTAACTGTTGAAACATTATAATTGGTTGTTTGTATTTGTTCATTTTGATTAATAAAAACTTCAGCTATTTGATTCGTTGGTTTTTGTATTTCTATATTTATATTTTCATAATCCAAATTTTGCAAATACACTGAACTATTTAAAATACCATTGATATTACAGGTTTCATTTTGTTGTGTAATATTTAATGCTGAGTTTGGACTATTTAAATTATTTGTATTTTGTATACTGCTTTTGTTGTTTATATTTGATTCTTCATTGTTATTAATTGTACCACATCCTTTGCTTTCTTTAATTTCAATAGAACAAAAATTTTGTGCTGCATTAATTATTTCAATATCATTAAAATCCGTCTCATGTTCATCATTCTCTTGTTTAATGTAAACAGGAATAAAGTCAATGGAACAATCTCTTATCTGTACACTAGTTTCAGTCAATTCCATGACCTTACAATCCAATAAATGGCATCAGATACTGAAATATTTAAGAAACAAATAAACTAGACTAAAAACAAATGTATCTGTAATAAATTTAAAAATTACATTGATATGTAGATAAGATATGTAAATGGTATATAATGTGAGACATTTATAATGTTCAGAATACTTAAAATATTTATTTAAAAGATATCGAATCGAGGTACATAGCATTTATGTTAAAATTTCTATAAGAATAATTAAAAATTGTATTTTCATTGATAAAGAATATTAAAATTAGGAACTGAAGTATCAAACTATAAACTTTACCTGTGCATCGTCTGCTTATGACAGCTGATTCAAAGATGATGCTGCAAGCGTTTAGAACATATTCATTTTTGCTGCAGGTCGCAGACTTCAACCGTTATCATTTTCCTCTGTGTCACATGTTAATGCGATATAGTCGATAGAACAGATCAGTAGCCATAAATTTGACTGTTTAACTCTGCACGGAATTAATTTGCACGTCGTGCTACTTGCTGTTCGTCTATCCACGTCGGTCGACATTAGGTTTATTCGCATTGACTGCGCTAGCTGCACTTGCGCAAAAAGTAGAAACAACCATTGGCTAATTCTTGTCGTTCTGAAAACGCAGCCAATGTTTTCCGTATAAATCGCATAAGTATTGAAATGAATTGACCAATCACTAAAAATGATTTAAAAAAGGGAAGATATCGAAATGGAATGCGTATGCGCAGATCAGTTATTTTAGTTTCGCGCGTTCGGTCGAAAATATGACGCTATTGTATTCGATATTATAATTCAGTCGTGTAATTCAATTGCGTAATTCAATTCCGTGAATATTCGCAATTGACGAGTGTTTTCCGCAATGACATTAATGAGTATAAGCATTTTTCGTCGAATTTAAGTTTGTGAGAAGTGATATTTTATATATTGTTAAGGCTATGTAGTTATCAGATTTGCCAGAATGATTTGTGAGTAAATATTTTTGTTATGTTCAGTTTACATGTTATAAGTAAATTGTGGATTTCTATGCGAATTTATATTTTTATGAACACAAAGAAATGGAAGTTACTACTATACTACATATACTATACTACTATATATATGTATATCATATACTCTTGTATATTATATACATTCTGTGCATTTTTGCATTTTCAAATTCTGCATAAATGCACAAAAATCCGCAATCTACATATAAATACTGTAGAACTTCATATCTATGAACATTTATTAATAATTTAGATGAATTAATATTTTATAGTTTTAATTAATATTGCATACGTATATTCGGCTTAACGATATTTAAATATATTTTATACGATATTGTTAATATATTTTATATATTAATATATTTTATACGAACATTGGAATTGGGGGATAGAGATTCCCTAATGAAATTTATGAAAAAACGAAATTAAAAATTACTATTGAAGTTGAAAGAGGTTATTTTTAAAATTTATCTTAGAGGCCATTAATCCCCATAATACGAAGATTGCAATTCTTTATTCTTATAATTCATTAGTTTCTTTCACGTTTATAAATTTTATACAAAATTTAAGTTCACTGGAATTTGTCTTTTTCACGTATATATTTGCTATACATTTATTACTTGTTTCTTTTTCGCATCTATGTATACATCCATTTCTATATCGTGAAATACAATTACGTGAAAATAGCTATTAATATTTCTTATTTGAGTAAAATATGATTATGTCCTAGAGTCTGCTTCTTTATTTAATATTAATAAGTAGACTGCGGATTTCTATAGATTTATAGGAAATTTGAAGGTACAAAATTGCACAGAACACACATATGAAATATATGAAAAAATATATAAAATGCTCAAACCATAATGCTTTGCATAATATTTGGCGAGTGAAGTAATTTTCTATTGAGGACCACAGGAGTGCCGCGAGAATTTTTAAGACATGCAATACCTAACTAAGTACATATCTAGTTAGGACCATTGATCTTCTTTTCTCAGAAATTGTCAAATAAAGAAATGACAACAACCAAAACACTAACTGTCTAATGTGGATGTCTTGAACCAAATATAATTCATAATATATTTTCTGGAGTACTGCACAATTGTAATAATTAGTTTAGTTAGTAATTTAGTTAGGTTAGTGGCATGTAATAAGAAAGGTTGAAAATCGCTAGATTAAATTGTCGCTGATTGAGAATTTTTCGTTCAATCTTTCATCTATTGTTGCGTATTGTTGCCAATGCTCGTTCAGCTCTATCAATAAATGTCACCAGTATTCGAACGTCCTCTCTTCATATGAGAATCTTACTTTACCATCGCGGACATACATATAGCGTCGCGGTGGGACGATTCAGAAGCGGATAATGTTTTTGTTGGCCGCTACGTGCTCTGATAATTAAGACATTTCCATTTAAAGTTGACGTCCGGTGACGTGCGGAGATGCGCCTGGAGCACGTTCGTTTTCGGCGGTCCACGCTTCAGAAAAACTTAATCCTCATGCATTGTGTTGATAATTAATGGTGTATGATCGAGGGTTCCGTTCCTGGAACGAGGGAACGTAGCTGTATAAGAAAGGAACGGTACGTATGTATCTATCGCGAGAAAGATTTATTAGTTTCGCGTAATAGCGAGAGATCCAATGTTCGATACTCTATATACTATACGATAACGTGCGGTATTTGAGGAAATAATTGAACCTTTATGTCTTGATTAATATTTATCTACATTTTCTTAATAATAAAAAATTGTGTCTCTTACTTTTGAAATAAACATAGTTACCTCGTTTAGCTACAAATTGAGCATAAGTGCAGCTATTCTTAGAAAGTATGTTTATCTTTTAATATATAACTTACAGGGTAAAAATTTTGTAAATGATCGTCAAAATTTACAAAAAATTATTTTGTACAATCTAGAGAATAATATTTATTTTCAAAGAATTTATTTAAGGTGTGCGTATTTTCTGATCACTTTTAGATAGAAAAAATGACAGCTCATAACCTATTAACCAGGTCATTTCTTAACCAGTAACCTCCATAATCATAGGGTTGACAGAATTAATATAAGTAACAAAATTAAATAGTCGTAGAAAATATATTAAATATAAATTAATTTCAATCATATCGATTTTAATTTTTACAAATATAAATACGATACAATTTTTCTTTGATAGAAACGATACGACGACCTATCAATAAAAATGTTGATATTTTCTAGAGATTTGGATTCGAATGACGAGTCAACTCGGTCTCCCTTGTTAATAGGTTAAAAATGGCATGATTAATTGTAAATCATAGGAAGTAATTCATAAGAGTAGTGGTGAATAAAAAATTGTGATACAAGATTGAAATTAAATGACATTAAGAAAATTATTTCCTTGTCAACTATTTCTCGCGGATAATTGCGTTAGGTGATGGGTTACGATCCGTGAAGCGTAATTTACGACGGGATCCCCGCCGGTTAACCAAGCGTGGTTACAGCGCCAAATTCGAATGCAGAACGAGTCACGGCGGAATGTTGGCAGGTTCTTTTCATCTTGGCTTGACAAAATCATTAGGGGACTAAATCCAATAAAGGGGGCTGGTCCCTTGCTTGTTCAGGGATCCCGACGTAAGAAAACATTCTCGGTGAGGTGATCGGTTGCATCGTAATCGGTATCAATGATATATTTACGAAAGATGGCGCGTCAGTAGTTCAAAACTTATCTATAATATACATATGTGTGTATGTATGTATGTATGTATGTACGTGTATAATGGCATTGGTATTGTAAATTATACGTTAATGCTACATCTGATAAAAAGTATACGTTGTTACAATATAAATATTGAAAGAGATTTCTGAAGGGAAATTACAAAATTTTTTGAAATTATCAATACATTTATAAATTATTAATAATTAAAAAATTGTCAGTCTTTCAAGTTAGATGAAAAATTTGTTTTTAGTTTACTTTTCTTTCACAAAACTTGCAATTTAATAGTACCATGTTTTTCGTTTTCAATAGACAATTGTTACGTTGCACCATTGTTCATAAGATTTATGATTTCGATCGATGGTAGGTTGGCAAATAATATTTGTATTTATTTTCATAGAAAGTAAAATCACAAATGTGTTTGTTTGTTAAAAAATTTGAGCTTCCAAACGCGACAGAGACACGATATACGTAGTTGTAAAATGATATATTTAAATATAGAGATTTTAATCATCCTTGACGATTATCAGTCGTGATACGAAACTGATACATCATCGATGCGCGTAAATCAAATTTAACGCGTGTAGTGGTTGATCCTACTCGCACCGTTCTTCCTTTCTAAATATTCTTTTTGCGGTACTCCTTGCTATTAAATTAGCAAGACTAAGGCCTTAAATAATTCCCTGGCACGTTTCATTCGACGCCACGTGTTCGAGGGAACCGGTTCTAATGATGCTTACAAAACATGCTCGCAAGTGAAGGAAAAGGAGCGTTCCTAAACACAATCGGCAACTTGTTTTGTCTTTTTTTATAATCGTTGCATCAGCTTAATCGAATATCTTTTTAATTAGAAGATATTTAACACGATATAACTAATCATCGTAATTAAACGTTTACACAATGTTTTACGGATTGTTTTTGGTAGTTCTTTTTCGTTTTATTTACAACAATCGATGGCATAGTTATTTATTTGTTGATTGAAAATTTATACATGGTAATAACGTGACAAATAGATAAGAGATTTAGAAACGAATTTTTTCACTGATATACAGATATTTCCAGAGGTTTCAATAGTCTTTTTACTAATTTTCTATTAATTCTTGGTTATTGAGTTGACTTCTTGTAGTCAGTTTTAATGTCAAGACATAAAAAAAATTAGCAGTATTCTAGACTGAAAAGATCTTAACGTTTTAGGTTTCTAGATCTAGTACGTAAAACTTAATGTTACAAGGCATTATATTTTTCTTAAGCTTGGGATATCTTTTAATTTTAAAAAAATACGATACAGTCAAAAAATGACTGAGAAAACGCAATAGAGTAAACGCAATAAATAGCAATACATGAAGCTAAAATTAGTTATCGTTATAGATTCTATTAAGAGCAGCACTAGTATAATGTTATTGTCTTTTCGGTTCACCATCTCATCGGTATACTTCTTTACAATGCTGACCAAAGGAATCCGTTTGTTTCTTCTCAAGCTGAATACAAACAGCACGGCTAATAATCGGCCGAAAGTTGGAACTTTTTAACAGGACATTAGTTCTTTAAGAGGGTTATATAGCGCGTGATAAAAAGCAAAGCTCGTAGGAGCGGGGGATCGTTGGACAAAGCTCGATGCCGAAGAAAGGAAAGTTAGAGCGATAAACGATCGAATCTGGTCTGGCGGGGGCATTTAAAAAATCTGCCCGAAACGACACTCTCTAACGAATCGTACGTGGATCGGTCTAGAAACAGGAATCGCATGAGCATCGGCTTCTCCGCCATCGGAGATTGGCCTGGAGGCTCTGCTTGATGTATGATCGGCGCAGAAATGGCTGTCGTCGCGAGGCCGCGTCCCAATAAATCTCTCGGCTTTTTCTCCGCGGACGGACTTGTCGTTCGCGTAT